GAAAACAGAATTAATCCTACTATTCATCCCATTCTTTTTTTAGATTCATCTCAAGGACTGTTAAGCACAATGTCATCAGGCATGTATACAGCTTGGACAGTACACTCCAGCCTATGCTTTTCTGCAGTTGCCTCTCCAAGACTTCATGCCAAGTGTCCATGGCAATGTTCTGGCAGTGGGGCATGCTGCAGGGGTGGCTTCCATGAGAAGAGGGCATGGGTGCCCCATGTCAGACATATCTGATTCCAGCTGAACTTCTTGTGTTCCAGCACAGCAAGCTGGTGGTACCTCTGGGAAAAACAGTTGCAAAAGGGGAAAGACAGGCAGAGCCTCTGGACAGGCAGAGCAGGGAACAAAAAGTGTGAGAAGCACACAGGAAGAGGTGTTTCATGGCAGAGCAGATATTCCCTGCAGCACCTGGAGAATCAATGACAGAGCAGATATTCCTGAAAGGGACTTCAGCTCATGGGAAACCCATAGTAGAGCACATGAAAAGAGTGAGAAGGAAGGAGAGGCAGAGAGAAACAGCTACATCCTGAATGCCCCCTGCCCTGCCATGCCACTTTCACTTCTCTGAAGGAGAGATGTTTGGAATGAATTTGAGCCTGGGAATAGGGGAGGAAAGGTGTTTTACTTAAGTATGCATGTTTATTTCTTTTTTGTTGTTGTTTTTGCTTCCCACTAGCCAAATCAGTCATTAAATATTTATTTTAGTTTTCAGTAAATGAAGTTGAATTCTCCAGAGTCAAATCTGTTTTGCCTGCAACAGAAACTGATGAGGATCTCCCTGGCTTTATTTTGACCCATGAGCATTCTCATCCATTTTTTTTATTTTCTCCCCTGGGAGAAAATTTTTCCCTTTTCTTTTTCTCTGCTCGGAGGGAAGCAGGTTGAGCATCAGAGTGGGACTTTGGCTGTTAGCTGCGGCCAACCCACCCTAGACATTTTGCCCAGGATGGTATCAAGTGTCAGAAAAGAAAGCAAGGGAAGCTGAACTCTAACAGCTCCCTCTGCATGTAGCTGAGCCACATGGATGACAAGGAGGGAGCCACCCAAACTGAATGTTTGGCTGACATCAAAAACTTGATACATCTCCACAGTGACAGAAATACTTTGGTGCGGACTCTTGGTGAAACAGATCCACACACAGGTCATGCCAACTCTGCAACCTCCCCTGAAACACCAGCCACCCCAAAAGAGCTTCTGTGCAGTGACCCTGAGGAGAAGCTCTGCATGTTTGGAGGGAAGCAAGGCAAGGTCAAACTGCATCCTTTTCCTCCTTGTTCATTCCTAACAAGTGTAGCAGAACATGCCGTGTATGGTTTCTTTCTCAGCATGCAGCTAAGGGGACGTGGGCTAAGTCTTCACTCACACACTGAATTCTTAGAACACGCTGCCACATTGCTGGTCCGGGCCAAGAAACACTCCCCCACATCATTCTTGGCCCCTGTTCAGGCATTAACATACCACTCCCAAGAGGCAGACTGCATATTTTGGCAGGTAAGGGTGTTTAATGGTATGGACATAGCCCATTTCATGCCAGTCAATCTCTGTGTCGGTGACTGACCCTGGGTGCTGAATTTGCTAGCAATGACACACCCACGTTGTCTTCAAGAGCTACTGCAAGTGAACATGCAGGTATTCACATTTACAAAGTTAATAAAGATAGCTACACCCTCATCTGGCATTAACCAACATATTTAGCTGAAGATAACGTTGCTTTAGACCTGTTTATTTTGGGCTCTGGTGGAAATACTCTAGCCCCTTCAAAGATCCAGTCCCATAAATCAGTGCCAATGTTGAAGCACTAATTTTTAATTTTAAAGTTCAGAAGGCTAATGGAAAAAAAACCTTCATGGTTTTTTTTTTTTTTTTTTTTTTTTGAATAAGTGTCATAATTTTAGTCTGTTCCCTAATTTTTTTTCGGTCTTGACCAAAATATTGAAGTGCCTAGGCAGGGCAGTACAGCCCATGGGGAACGCCCTGGGAGTCTGGCCTTCAAAGCTGTGCTCCAAGAAGTTCCTGTCACTCCCTAAAAGCCCTTTCAGAAGGCTTTCACTCTGTTATAAGGTAGCATTGAAGGGGCAATCATTAACCCTCAGTCAAATAAGGCAAAGAATTTCTTGGAACTAACCTTATCTCTGAAATTTTAATGTTCTTGCACAAAAAATATTTTCCATTTTTCTAAGAGCCACATGCTGTTTCTTATTGTCAACCTCAATGAGTCATTTAATTATCAACTTAAAAGCTGTTGCTTTACTTTCAAAGTAAAAAATTGATTTATTATAATTATGCTGAGTGAGAATTAATGCCTATATTTGTGGTATATAATTTTACATGTTGACTTGCAATGCCTTGAGACCTTGAGAAAGACCATATGTGCTTGCATAAAGAGGCACTCCTGGCACGGGTACAATTTAAACAAACGGTGCATGCAAATAAGTAATTGTAAGTAATCAAAAGAGAGTTCTCCGCTAATAGGAGCTAATATTTATTATTATTGTTCCTATCACTGTTCCTGCAGCCAGAAATTACAAAACTGAATTTCCTGATTTGACTTATTCATGAATAAATAAAAAGAACCCAAACGTCTTTTTTTCTTTTTCTCTTTTTTTTTTTTCTAAATGAATAAATTCAAGTTTGTTCCCATCTTCCATATTTCTTCTCCCAACTGAGCAGCTTAGCGTACTACCAGTGGAATGCAACAGATTGTGAAGGAGTCAAGGAGACATTTGAAAATAGATTTGTTCAGCCATACCCGGCAAACAGCACATCTGTTATTGACAGAGTGAAAATAGAGCCTGCAAGGAGTTAGTGCTAAATATAATTCAGCCTCAGGAACAGCATTCTTGCCTAGATTTTATTTTATTTATTTATTTACTTATTTTGCTTAGGTAAAATTATCTCCACTTCAATACAGCTTCCAAAAGTGGATACAGAAGGCCTGTTTTTAAGGTCCCTAGGCAATGAAAGACACCATTCAAAATCATATATTACAAGCTCTTTCCACATCATCTTTGTGACACCTCCACAACTGTGAAAAATCTTCATTGGAAGAACGGAGACATCGCAATGAGAACAGCTCAAACTGTTGGGTCATTGAGGTTATCAAGTCTCCATGGACATGCCTTATTTTTTCACCTGGGAGCGTTCCATTAGAAGAACTTGAGCATTTTAGCACTTCTCTGATCTTTAGAGAGTCCAGCTTTCTGTGCAGCGTGGGTGGAAATAATTCTGATACAATCTGGGAATTGATGGACCCCTTCCATATGCATCCAGGAAATCTCTTGAAAGAGATGCAGCAATCTTGGGAAACAGCAGAACAGAATTAGGTGAGCCATAAAGCATTAATTCGACCCCTGGGATGTAGTCCAAATTCATCTCACCTAACCTGAGCTATCTAAAAGTTTCTCTCCAGCCTTGTATAGCCTTCTCTGCACCTTCTAAAACTGATGAGGAGGATGGACATGTACAGATGGGGTGATAGAAGCCCACAGGGGGATAAGAAATTAGCTTAGATTAGACACCAGATTCAGTACAGATCAAAAAAAAAAAAAAAAAAAAAAAGACACACATGGAGTTTTGTCTTGCACATTTCCATTACTGGAGCTGCTGGTATTTCTGAAGGAAGAAGGCACTGCCTCAGGCACTGGATGTTTAGTGACATATAGCAGCCATCACAGTTTGTTACCAGTTGCTGATGGCAGCAGGATGCTGCTCCCCACCGAATTTCAAGTGTCCAGTCACAACCAATGCCTTAGTAAACATCTCTGAGAGACTTAACACGACCAAGCTGTTGGGAATGTCTTGTCCTCCCACAAAACCATGTATGAATGGGTAGGTGCCCACACAGCTCTCTGAAACAGGTAGCTCTGATTCTGCAGATGAGACAGAAGACTTAAATTGCCTGCCAGGCACTTTTGAGGAGCATCACTTTCTCCACAGTGCTGGCCAAGTCAAGATCTCCAGGCCTGTTGAGAACTAGAAGGCTTTTTTATTATTATTTAAAAAAAAAAAAAAAAAAAAAAAAAAGATTTCTTTAGAATGTAAATGAATTGAAACTGCAGCTGGCCTTCAAAGAGAAAGCAGGGTAATTACATTGCTACAAGGCAGTAGTTGAATTACTGGTGTAAAGGAGTACTTGCACATGTAACTATCCCAAAGGTAATGTCATTATCAGGTTATATATGCTACAGTTGCTATTGCTTCCCAGGCTTGCTGCATTCTCCTTTTATAAAAATAGTCTTGTGTTCCTGCTTTCACTGAGTTATTTACAGCAGGATTTTTAGACACTCCAGAAATGCATCACCTGCAAGGCTAAATCCAGGTCTGAGGGCTAAGGGATGGAGAAAGAAGCCTTCCAGAGCAAAGCTATCCTCTTACCTTGTGATCCCAAACTCTTCTCCCCTCCCCACAGCTGAATTTAATTCAGACATTTAAAACTGATATTGTGAGGTCTTTCCCAGCTTTAGCAGCCTTTGGTCTTAGCAGATGAACAGAATCATGTTCCTGCCATCTCTCTGGTACAGCATTTCCAGTCTTGGATGCATTACCATCAAGTAAAAAAAAAAAAAAAAAAAAAAAAAAAAAAAAAAACTGCATGCTTTCTTCTGTAATGCATTCACACAGGTAATAATTCTTTCTCCTGTTATTTATCAGATTTTTTTATAATACATTTAGGGTTACAGCTATGGGAAATGCTTAAAAATATTTACATAGACCAGGAAGTATTAGGGAAAAAGGGGGTAGAACGTCAGTTTTTCTCCTTTTGGCCATGTATTGCAATCTCCTGAGTTTCTGCTGACTGCTATATTTTACTTTCTGAATGACAAAATTCACAACAAATATCAGAAAAGAGCTATGGTATCTGGATAAATAAAACAAAACAGAGAGCAAGATACCCTCTGAACAGATTTTAAACTTTTTCTGCTATACTTTTTAATGTCCCATGTAGTTTGACTTTCCCGATCAATAAAAATCGTTCTGCTCTCCGTTCTGTTTCTCCAAGAAATATCTCATGTAAGTGTTCACCGTGAACTCAAGCAGACAAAAAGTGAAGACATCTCAGGTCAGGTCCTTTGGGGCACAGTTTTGTGATATGAACAACGTGAATCAAAGGCTCATCACTGCTGAAGGGTGGAAAGCTTTTTTTTTTTCTTCCTCTGCTTGCCTTCTGCTTTGTTCCTTCCCTCTCCTCTGCCTCCCCTCCTCAATGGCGCAGCCCTGCTCCCTGCCTTGCTGCAGCTCTGGGGCTCATCGCAGTGTCAGGTTTTGGTGGCTTGTTTCCATGTCTATAAACTGGGAGATAAGCTACTATCACGAGAATGATTTTATTCTGCGTTGGACAATACTGTATCACTTACTTTATCTGTCACACCGTACTCAGTGCTGCACGTTAGGTAGGCAAATCAATCTGTCATCTTGAAATGTCTACTGCTTTATTTAATTTGCGTTCTGCTTAAATGTCATGTTGCTCTGGGTGCTTTCAGTGCATACTTCAGTGCCTGCTTCAGAGCAGGGCTCACTCCACTGATAGGACCCTGCCCACTTCACCAGGGCAACTAAATCAGGAGCAAGGCTTCCTTTGCTAAAAATATAATCAACAGGGGGAAAACCAGGCATATTCAAGGGGTGATTCAACTCACATACTGTCTGACTTGTCCTGCAAATACGGTGCTTCCTCTTTTGCCATAGCAGGAACCTGCACCAGCAGCACTCCTCTGAGACATCTCCATCGAGCTCCAAAGCTCAGCAGAATGAATCTCAGCACGTACCTGAGGTGGGTAAAGGATGTTACTGCCTCTAGAAGTGAAGAGCTTGCAAGGTTGAAGATGCTTTTCTAACAGTGCGTGATTGTCATTGTTTTATTTTATTTTTAACTTGGAGCAGAGTTGGTTTAATTCCTGCCCAGGGAAGTTTTGTGTGCACTAAGGGACATGGTTTAGTGACGGGACTCGGTAGGTCAGCTTGATTGTTTCAAAGGTCTTTTCCAACCAAAATGATTCTGTGATTATCCAACAGCACCCCAAAGCAGGCAACCTGATTTTGCCACGGCTGTGTTGGGGCTACCAACCTTTTCCCTGAAGGGTTCGTGTTTCAGTTTCTGAATAACTTTTTGAAGAGGAATACATTTCAAATGTCTGGAACAGGAGAGCAATTGTATTAATAACGGAAGAGGATAAAGGAAGTAATCTTCACAAGATCAGAATGCTGCCTTTCAAGTGTTTTGATGGAGCATGGATTTCAGGCTAGTTGACACTGCTCACAAAAACACTATCTAGATCCTCATATTCAGAGAATATTCAAGGATTTTATTGGGAATACCTTGCAACACTGTTTAGCTGCATCTGCCAAGTCTAGAGATGATAGAGCAGATGCAGAGATATGAGTCACTAAGTCCAGAGGGTATGTGGTAGGTGACACGCGAAGCTCTGATAGCTGCTCCTGCACTGCGGATGAACTCTGAGTCACGAGCAGGTCAAATGTTGTGTCCCCACACAGCCTATGACATCTCGTTGGTGGTTGGGATTGCAGGCAAAGTTGTGGTTTTAAGTGCAAATGCAAACCTTTTTCCCAAAACAGAAAGGCAACTGCCAGCAAGTTGGAGGTTTTTGCTTTTCTTTCATTTTTCAAGCTGTGAACACCAATTTGTGTATGTTTGTTTTTTAAAGACCACTGTGAGGACAAGCAGAACTGGAACTGAAAGACATAGCATCTCCCACGCTGGCCAGGGTGACCAGAAATCATCCAGGCATGCCAGTACAGAAATAGCTCCTTGTTAATCAAGCACGTGCATTTCCTGAAAGCTTCTGGGCCTAAAACAGGCTGGAAAGCATCACTGTGTGTTGCTGCTGAACACCCTGACTGCTTCCAAGGCAGGAAGAGCCATGTGGAAGAGGTACTGGCCAGAGCAAGAGCTGCCTGCCAATCAGCATCTAATTATGCTTAATGGAGGCCAACAATGCTGTCTCTAATTACATTTACCTGGGAGGTACCACGTGCCCCTTTTTTGTCTTGGATGCAGAAAGGCAACAGGTGAAACAGTTGTTTTCCTTCTTTGTTGCAAGGATCCTCTGCTGTGTAAGTGTTGTCTAAGGAACTGTCCTTTCTTTGAGCAATTAAAGCACCTTTGCTGGTAGGAGTATGTGGGTAGCTGTGCCGAGCTCGGCAGTGCCTCCTGTCCAACTTCCAAAGAACTTTTTCTGAGCAGTCAAAACAAGGCCAGTGCCACAACTACTCTCCCACAGAAATGCTCTGTTCCTGAACAGCCACTTTTAGCAGGATTTCTGCAGCCACTAAGAGGATGCAGAGCCAGACAAGTGATTAGCAATTACACCAACAGCAATTGCCTTTTTTTGATAAAACAGCCCTGGGCCATGAGAATTGTGAATTCTTAAGTTCTGGAGGATGTCAGCCCAAACTTATTCAGGGAAATAAAGTGATAGCTATTAAGAAAGAGTACTCGATGGTCTGCTGTTTATAGCAAAGGAGCAGAGCATGAGCAAGGAAATATTTCCCTTACTGAGTGCAAGAAGCAAATGCCTAGAAAGTGAAACAGTCAGGGTTCAGTCCCTACTCCAGGAGCTTTAAAATAGCTCTGAGGAGGTGGAGGAAAAAAAAAAGGGGGGGGGAAGAAAAAAAAAAAAGAAAAACAGAGCAGCTTGAACAGGAGAAACATAGTCCAGATCGGCCTGTAGCTCAGGCACTGGATCACTGGATCAGTTCCCTTCTCAAAGGCAGTCAGATTTCCGATTTCCTTCCTTTCGTGAACTAATGCCATTACGAGAACTGATACATGTATAAGGGACAGCACTATCACTTCTCCCACCTTGTGACTCAGAACCTTTGATTGTATCAAACCTCTTCAGAAACAAATCAGGACAAGGCTATAACCTACTTTCATGTTTTGTTTCAACAAAAATAAATGAATGTCTGTCCATGCTGGACAAACCTTTGCATGCAGTCTAGATCTTTCATCTCACAGAGGGTAGAAGTTGAAAAACAGAGATGAAGGCAGCAAGGATAGTTTCTGTAAGGGAATAATGAACAGATGAGAACTCTTGAACCTGGAAAAAGGCAAATGAGGAAGGCTACAGACAATGAATGGTGTTGAAAAGGTGATGAGGTAATGATTATTCACTGCATCGCACCACACAAAAACTACAGGGCACCCACTGAAATTACCAGGTGCCAAATTAATGGGAGAGAGCAGGTATTTCTTTGCATAGTGCATAATTATATTGTCACAGGCTGCTGTGCAGACCAAAAGTGTAGATAAACTCAAAAAGTCATTACAGAAATTCAGGGAGGGCTAGTCCACTGGTTAAAAAAATATAAAAGAAAAGAAAAAATAAGAAAATTCAGTCTCAATGCAACCTCTGGCTCGGGAAAGCAGTGATGGATAGATCACTGTTGACATACTCTCCCTTGTGCTTTCTCTGAGCATTACTGCTGAAGTGCCATTGTCACTGCGACAGACAAGCTACTGGGCTAACCTCTGTACAGCAATGTTAAGGTTCTTAGTCTGATGCTAATTGTCTTTTATTTTTTGGCTGAGAAAACAGGGTATTCACACAACTCACAACACAGGTATAGGATAGAAAGACACAGGCACCATGCCCACTCTCCCATGTCACTGTTGGATAAACACTTTAATTCAGATATTTTGATTATACATGCACTACAACTATACCTATACATGCAAAAGCACTGCATTATAGTCTACAAAGCTACCATGATACAATATTTGTATTTGAAAAATGAATATACTAAAGCAATTGCCTCACCTCAAACAGAGCAGTAATACTTCACACTTTCTCCTGCTAGGCTATATTTAGCTTTCCATCGTTGTGCTACTTTTTCTATGCCATTTTCTATAACTTTATATTGCCCCCAATATGTCCTTGTTTGAGAATTCAGCCTCACAGAGAGGCACAGCAGCTGTTTCTGACACATTAAGGAGCAAACTAAAAAGTTTGTTTATTCAAGGATAAACACTGCGGTTCCTTTGCATAACATCCTTGTCTGTCTTTGCATGAAATTTGATCAGTTCCCTAGTACTGCCCAGTACCATACTACCCAGCGAGGGCTTCCACCGGAAAACTAATGTTTAAAACCACCTATGGGAACATCTCAAACTTGTTTGACATCTCTGCTACTGGAGAAGTAAGTCATAAGCTGGGGTAGGTAATGTGGAGAACTGGCCTAGTTCTTGTAGGAATTCCTTTTCCTCTTCATGAAGGATCACTTCTTAGCTAATCCTCAAAATGGCTCAATTTTACCCTCCTGGACATTATAGCTTCTCAGGCTGTCTACTACTGGAGCTGTTGCTGAATATCAATGCCCTGGTGCAGCAACCCCTGATCCTCCAAGCACTTGGTGATGCAGAGGCAGCACTGACATTTTTGCAGAAGGGAGACCCACTACAGTGACCTATGCCAAAAGAAACCCCTTACTCCTGTAAGAAAGTTTGACATCTGATAGCACAAGTTATGAGGAAATAAAGTGCATTTCAGTTAACTTTGGGGCTTCTTGTACAGTTCTCCTTAACCTAGTGAACTGTGGGAGATTTCTTACGTTGTGTGCACTAAGTCCAGACTGCCTCCTATGGCAAAAGCACTGAAATTGCTTCTGAGACAAAGGCTTCTTAAAAGGGCCTGCCTTTTTTTGCTGAGGACTCAGATTCTTGGACCTCTGAAAATCTGGACCACTCTATCTCCATCAGACAACCAAAATGAAGGTAAAAAGGGGTTAGTCACATGAGAAAAACTAAGCCAGCTAGAGCATCACAAAACTACTTCTGATAGCCAGAAAAATATTAGTAGGCTGGAGATGTACATCACATGCTTGTGATATTTCTGTCCAGCTATACTGAGGAAAAAATAACAAACAAATAGCAAGATGGCACGCATCAATTTAATTAGAGTGACTAATAGGCTCAGTTTGAAACAAGCATTAAATATGGGAAAGCCTATCCATTTAGGAAACAAAATTTCCTTCAAAAATTTTTGAGGAAAATAAATACTTGCTTGACATCACTGTCTTCTGGAAAGCCATGCAAGTCATAGGAAATCTTGTTTAACACTCTTGCAAGCATTAGGTCTCATTCAGTACCTAAAGAAAGTGGCAAACTTTTAACCTTTTAACTCTTTTTCTTCTTTTCTTCTTTCTTTCCTTCTTTCTCTCTTTTCTTCTTTCTTTCGAGATTTTCACGTGATGTCTGTCAGTGGCCTAATATAAAAATGGTCTGAACTGTGGGAGTAGGACTAAAAGGACAAATGGGAAGCATGCATTTCCTGAGAGGGAAATGCGGCTGGAGGCAGCGGGTGCTTGGCTGAGTTCCCCAGGAGCAGAGGGTTCCCAGTGGATTTGCTTACCTGGAGATCGCAGTGGTCATCCAGACCAGGAGAGAGGTGGTAACCTGTTGCTGAGTCAACTTTCAAACAGCAACACAAATTAAGATCTTGTGAGCATACATGCCCTGGGGCAGCAGTTTCCTACCACCCACAAACAAGCAGATGACCTTTCTCAGGCTGATTTTTGTATTTGGCAGGAAGCTGCTCCCCTGTTTGTCCCCAAAACACATCTGGTTATTTGGGGAGTGTGACAGCATCTTTGCATTGGATACATTCAGAGGACACTATGAATTTATTCATTTATCAATCCTAACCAATTCTGGATTGAAAATCAGAAAATCGGGTCAGCTGCGAAACAGTGCTACATTTCACATCTGGAATGTGTGTTGCAGCTGCGCTTCAGTCTCGAGGTAATTATTTTGATCCCAAATCCAGTTGCTGTAAATAAATCTAATTAATTAGAATGTTTTTCCTTTGCCTTCACAGAAAAAGCTCAGTATTTCAGAAGAACCACAACCATCACAAGTGGGTCTTTGCTTCCATTCTGTTCAGTTGTCCTCATTTATAAGAAATGTTCTTCATCTAAGCCTCCATCTACTTCCCTCCCACACAAACCCAGTTTTATCTTAGATTTCTGACATTAAATCACTCCTATCAGAAAAGCTGCGTCAGTTCCCTGAAGCCTTAGCTTAATGCTAAAAAAATAATAATAAATAATAATAATAAAATTACTAAATTTTGAAACATTTATATACTATTTCCCTCCAGATTCTCCTTTTGACCTTGGTCACAAAAGCAAGCCAGTGCTAGTTTCTGTCCTATTGCACTCATTCAAACTGCTTTGGGGTTCATTCTGGTTTTGCTGTTTTCTCTAATGAGTAGCACACAGACTGTATAAATATTTTAAAAATGAATAGAATAAACTGTGCATACTCTCCAAACTCCCCTGGCTAGAATTCCCCTCCAGCGGAGACAGCAGAAATGCTGCAAGCAGATAAATATTACTGATGGCCGCCCTCATAAACAAGTGGATCAATTAGCTTCATTCTTTCCCCAGAAATGTTTCTCTCTCCTGCCAAACTGAAAAGCAGGCAAACTAAGGCTGCATTGCTTGAGTGAAATAAAAAATCCCAAGTTACTTAAAGTTTCTGTGGTGCCAGGTACGTCACGCTCAGGTCAGTAAGTTAAAAACGCTTTTGCACTGCAGCCAGTGACCGCCTTTCAGAAAAATAAAATTTGGTGGTGCCGAGAGATTTCAAGGCTATCGCACCATGTGCTTGTCCAGCATCCATCCATGCCAGTAACTCGTTTGTCACAGTATTTGCAGGAAGCCCAGGCGTGGGGCCAGAGGAGTTTGTTGGAGCAGAGCATGGAGCCCGAAGGCGAGCCCTGCTGCGCTGCTCCTGGGGTCAGGCGCTGAAGGAGGAAACCCGGCGTGTGGGAACACGCTCCAGCACGCTCAGAAGCCTTTCTATGTTCAGCACTAAAAATTCCGTGTTTATAAATAAAAGCACAGAGCCCCCCTCGGCCGGGTTTGAGGTGGCGGCGGAGGGAAACCCGTGCCCCGCTCGGGCCCGGCGGCGCAGCCATGGCGGCGCCAGCGGCCGACGGCTTTCGTGGGCTCCGAGGGCCCCCTAGCGGCTCCCGGCCTCCACACCGCCTGGTTTCGCCCCAAAATCGCCTCCTGGTGCTCCTTGCCCCGGGGAAGGGCCCTGAGGGGAGGCTGGTGGCAGCCGAGGCCGGGAGGAAGGCAGGAGAGGTGTCACGCACGGTGGGGCAGGCAGAGGATGGAAAACAAGTCTGTGGTGCACCCCCCTTGGGCTGAGCAGCCCCGCACTTCCTGACCCCAAATCAGACGATTGGGTAACAACAATGAAGATTTATAGTGAAAGGTCAGGGTTTCCAGTTCCCACAATTCCTCTAATTAGCTGGAGCCTCTCAGAGCAGGCTGCTTTGACCTTTTGTGTCCCCTCTTGCTCCAGCGCATGCAGAGGAAGCGCCTAAAATACATCGAGGCATTCATCGGCACGCCGAGCCAATGGGTCAGGAAGGGCTGCAGCTCTCAGAAACCCCCTTGAGCTGCTGTTAGGAAACAGACAAGCGCTATTTAATGAGGATGTGGCATGATTAGGATTTCTCCAGTGACGCTCTCTGCAAGCCTGCCCGTCTCCCTTCACCAGCAGGATGCTCCCTTCCAGGCCGGGATGCTGCTAACAGCACAGGACCAGCCCTGCAACTGTAAACAGATCTTGAGTTATAAACAGGCTCTTAAAG